GATTAGAGTGTCGGGATGAAAGCCTCTAATTGTGTTATAAAAATGAATAATTGATATGATTGATCCAATCCAATTGAGGGAATTCCGATGCTTCACCACTTCGAATTATTGATTTTAATTTCACGTTTCAACATTAAATTTTATTAAACATTTGAAAGGATAATTCATCATTTTGATCTTTTAAATATTTTTTCATCTCTCTGTGAATACGACACCCTAAAACTGTGCTACAACTATCGCGTTATTCTTTGGGCGTAATCATATATTCAAATCATGTCTGTATGGTAATGATTTATTCACTACATGTCATATTAACTAATGATTACGTTAGTTATGAAAATTTTCAAATCTTGCTATATGCAGAGTTAATTTTCAACTAATGTATGTTTTACTAATAATTATGTTATATTAACTACATAATGAATTATTTTTTACTAATGGTAATTCATATTTTTAACCTGAAGTAGTACAACATTATATTGATAATATATCATATTGTTGCTTTTGAAGTAGCACAATATTATAATTAATATTTTAAGAGAATATTACTCGTAGGTTTGTCTCGTACAAATAGTTTGTTATTTTTCCTAAAATAGCGCAAAATTATAATTAATATTTTAGAATAATATTATTTGCTCCTCAAGAGCATGAATTATAATTTTCAAAATTTCAGAAAAATGTTGACATATCGCTCTTAAATGAGCAATAATAAAATATAGCATGCTCTCGATGTAGCACAAATTTCAAAAAATATATTATTGTGAATTGGTGTTTTATTCTTGAACGAAAACATATAGATCATGTCTGTTAACATTGACTGCTTGATTAGTTATTATATAATTGGGTAATTAGCACAAAACGTCCATATCTTTGCCTATCTTTGTGGAAAACGTCCCTACCTTTCGTTTCTTGATGCAGCACGTCCTTACCTTTCACTTTTTTTTGCGTAAACCGTCATTTTCCCTAATTTTTAACGTAAAATGACCGATATATCCTCCAATTTAAATAAAACAAAAAGGAAAAGAAAAGAAAAATAAAATAAAAAACAAATTGCAATCTGCTCCTAGACTTTTTTAAAAAGGAAAATCAGTCCAAAACTTATGAAAATATTAAAAATAACAAAAGCACACACTCTCTCTTCTCCTCCACCTCCCTCCACCACCTCTACCCTGTCATCGCTGCCGCCAAAATTTAGACTAATCGCTAAATGGGGACTGATATTTGGCCGTCTGTCCATCTCCCCTCCTTCTCTCCCTCCCCCCTCCCACCACGCTCCCTCGATCCTATGCTTTTTCCAAAATTCCTTGTACTTCGCCATCTCCTTGTCTTACAATCAAATTCCCCAAATTTCACTGTCAAATTGGTAACCAATCGTTAAGAATCACAGAGGAGCAACAAAACTCAAATTTCTCAATTCCAAAACTCCACAACAATTAGGTAAGGAAATCCACCCGAATCCGACTATAATCCTATTGAAATCAGAATAAAACTCAAACAAATGGCCAAGATTATCAACAATGGCCATACAGCCAACATAAAAAGCCCTGCAGGCGGTAGGGGAGTCGATGGTGAAGCGGCGGGATA